GGTAGAAAAACAAGAAACAGGGTACAAAAATGTCCGCATCATATGTCCTCAAAACAGTTGAGCAAAATTTGACTAGGACGATACAGTTGACCATACCTTGAATTCAACCAACTAGACACATGACAACTAATGGTCAAAATCTGCAACCAACTGGCAGGTTTGTCCATCTACAAAGAGAAGACCTTTTAAGTATTGTTTTCTTCCACTATTGTGTTCTGGAAATCCATTGGATATAGAAATACCCACATCTGCATTACAGATTTACAGTACTCAAGCTTTTACTATTCACTTAGGTGATACACGGTATTGAGGTTTTTCTTTGTTTACACATTACCAAGTGACCAATTGCTCTGTTGCGAATTAAAGACCACATTTCTTGAAGAGAACTATTTAGAAACGTCCCCTAACTCCCAAGCCCAAAATCCAACCCTATCTTGACAACTCGAAGGAAACAGAAGAGCAGAAGGTAAAGGTTGATCGATATAAGAAAAACAAGCAAACATTTAAGTGGAAAAGGGGTGGAGAGACCTCATGTAGTCGATCCAAGGTGGGGAGGGAAGAAGAGGCAGCCTCCTTCTTCTTCTTGCTCTTGGTCTTCGATATCAGTTTCTTCAGCATCTTCTTGTCACGCCCTTCTGCTGATTCTCACTCTTAGATGATGATGGCCTGTGTATGAAGGTATAGGTGAATATGAATGGGAATGGTGTTTGCAGTAGCGGTGTCTGGGTGAGGATCAGGGGGGAAGAAGTAAGGGGAAAAGGAGACTAGTAGGAGGAGAAAGGCAGACAGGGCCATTAGCATGTGACAGAAGATTCTCAGTTTATGAAAAAGAAAGAGTGCCACTTTCAGTGAAATCACCATCTTAGGATAGATGCCACATCCCCATGTTTTACAGTTTGCCTACCTGTGACCACTTTCTGCTGAGCAGGCTCCTCTATTCTTATATCAAGAGTAAGTATGACACAAACAATGGTTTCGAGTGTATAAAAATAATCTGTAGCAGGTATGTGGGATTAGGTTTGTGTTGCATCCTAAAAAATATTTGGCATCTTGCTGTGCTCAGCATTCATGTGGTTAGTTGACCCTAGGTGCATAGCTCGTGGCAACAATCTGCACCTCTCTTTTAGCCCTATGGCACATATCACTCCATGCTTCTTACTTGAGACAAATGCGATAAAGTAAAGTGGTAAACTAAACTATCTAATTTTCCTTTTCGGTGGAGTAGTTGAGCTGTCATTCTCTAACTACGCAAGTTGTGACGATGAAAGCTAGTAGGCCATATCATCTGCGCTGGCTCTACGATAAAGCATGAAACGCGCCTTGCTAAATTTCTCGACACAATAATTTATTCCGTGACCTCTTTCTTCAAGAACCACCCACTCTTTGCAAACAAAAAAGGGCTCAGAAACAGAAACAATCTTACCCCCTCTTCTATCTTCCCTTCAAAGTGCAAAGGTAGTAGGTTAGAAAAAATTCCCCACTTGCCTGCACAACGACAAGCTGGAAATCCACGAGCTCCCGCCGACGAATCGAGTTCCCGCAGGCTGCAAATGCGACGCCCGCTTATACATCCGGAAACTTAGAAGCAAGGGTGGGCGGGGGATTAAAATCGACGGCAGCATCCGCACGCGTACCAGTCTTACTGCCGAGTCGACTCCACCGATCCGAGTTGCCGCGTCAGCCCATCTTGAACCGAAGGGCGCCGCATTTCTCGCCGGAGTGGAGCCGTGGGGAGCAGGAGATGGCTTCTGGTATCGGCCTAGGCGGCGCAGTACGGTGTGCGCTGTGGGCGGGCAGGACCACGGTGGTCGCCTTTTTTTAGAACTACCACGGTGGTCGGTGGTCGGTGATCTAGTGGAGTGGTGGCGGACACGATTCGGATGCTGGGAAGACCTCTGTGGCATGCAGTGCGGCGGTCAATCCTATATGACGGCCGCGTGCAACATATAGTTGCGGCTTCGCAGAGGACTCCTCCAGACGGGCCGGCCCACATAATAGCTGTTTTGTTTCGTTTTTTTTCTCTTTTCTGATCTTGGATTTTCTTCTTTTTTTGGATTTTTATTTTTCAGATTCTTTTGTAGGTTTTGTAATATATGATGACCATTTTTTCAAATACACACTAAAAGTTTTTAGTGCGCGGTGAATATTTTTCAAATGAGCTATTTACACGAAACCACAACTTGAAGGCAACTTATAACACTTTACCACAATTTTTGAGTTTTTCAACACATGACCACAATTTCTAGACTAATTCTCAACACTGAGCCCAAATCTGTTGGTGTACACCTTCTAATAGGCAATCTAAGTGATTGGGCCCACATGTCATGCTCTAGGTGGCAAGTTTCCTCCTACATTGCATTTATTGAATGTGTGTAAAATAGCATCACGCATAAAACATCCTCGTCTTACCAACGACGTGTTCGCCTGCAGTTTCTACGCCATGTATCGCAGAAAAGGAAAAAAACAATTGTCTTCACCTTCTCTCAGGCTCCGTCGGGCCAATACTGTCGTGTGGACGCCCGACCGCTATACGTTGGTGATCATCCTATGGAAGAATTTCGACCACCCTATCGATACCTAGCTCCCTGCTCAACACATTGGTGGAGTTTATGGTGCCAGCCGGGGCTGCGAAGAGGAGGGGATGGTAGGCCACATAGGAGCTCACACGTGACGCATTTTTGCCACTTAGGTCCGAACATGTGGGCCTAGTTTGTCAAATTGGCTATTACAATAAGTTGATCAACAGATTTGGGCTTAGGGTTGACAATTAGTCCAGAAGTTGTGATTCTGCTTTGGAAAATTCAAAAGTTGTGGAAAGTTGCTCTGAAGAAATGGTCAAATGTTGTGGAAAGTTGCTCTGAAGAAATGGTCAAATGTTTTTTTAAGGGGTAAATGGTCTTTTTTTGTGTGCGTCAAATGTCGTTAACTCGAGAATCCATCCAAGTTTCAAAAAAAAAAAACTCGAGAATCCATCCAGAATCCAGAAGAAAAGAAAAGGAAGAAGGCCCAGCGGCGAGTCGTCTGCTTCTCATCTCTGATCGTTCCCCTCACCTCCTCCTCCAGTACGCACCAGCCGGCAAAGGGGCGCCCTCCGGCGGCCGGCGGCCGGCGACCCAC